AGATTTGTGAGGAAATAAATGATGCAATAAAGTCAGGTTCAATAAAATCATGGTGATTTCCCCTCATGGCTATACTTAATGACAAGGACATTATGATATGAAAAATTACTGGTGGACAAATCATGACATACTGAAGCACTCGAGCCTTTTGCCAAAGAGATACCTGAAATGAATCTTGGGTGGATTAGTAACGCTTGAAGTTTTAGGACTTAATATTACTATGTTCATTCCTTCTTATATTTGCTTATATACAGAAGTATGTGTTCTGATTATTCAGTGTCATGTTCTCAGTTATCAGCACCACCATTATATACAACAGTGAACACATACAACCATAATACATAAAATAACCTATCTAGAATTCTAGCCCTGATCCTGATGAAAGCTCCCCACCCAAGACTATTTTCACTAAACTAACAGAGATCCGCTCACATGCTGTAAGACTGGTAAAACCCCTTTTTTGTTCAGGTATTAAAATAAAACATAGGGTAATATTCCAGTGTTGCATAAGCGCAGAGCTATTTTTGTAAAGGCTGAAAAACAAAAACAAATCCCTTTTTTTTGGTCACTATTAAACACATGCATATTTAGAACATAGGTATATCTTGTACTCTGTGGATGAGTACATCTTAGATATAGTATTCACCTTAGAGTACCTCTGAGATGGAGTCTACTGATTGAGAATCCTTACAAAAACATTACTAAAATTGGTTTAATACAACCCTGTGGAGAACAGAAGCCTGAACCATAACAAGAGAGCCTTGAAGATACACATGCCTCAAACGCAGCTGAAAACCCACTCCCTCAACAAGCAATGTTTTGGGAGATGTACAGAAACACACTCCCTTGGCTAGTCTTAAGCAACAGTGCATCTGTAGAGACATCAGATTTCTTAACCCAGCTGCCCAGGGAATCTTTTTCCATCTGCATCCTTACACTGAAGAGTGTGCCTCGGTAAACCACAACATTCATCCTCAGTGTGCCAGGCTTTGGCAGAATCTGCAGAAAGCAATAGCCAGGCAACACACATACTTTATACAACCTGACCACAGGCGCATCACCCATGGAAGGTTCTTATGACCCTCAAGCTTAGTTTTCAGTGGGACACTAGTGGTCCAGGGAGAAATCTCAAGGCTTTATCCCAAAGGGTAGCTGGACGCCCCCATGCCAATGTGAGTGGGGCATTCAACTACTGAATGCTTTATAAACATGTCTGTGTTTAACAATTGAGCTTTTTGATATTTGATAATTTTATCAAGCTACCTACTGAGCCCAGGAGCAAAGATAATGGAGAATCAGCATCAGTTTCTTTGAGGGAAGGCAAAAAGAAAACAAGATTTATTCTTGTACATTTGTTATGAATATTTTGGGGAGTTATACAACTTTAGTTTTGCAAAGCAATTTTCTGAACTTTCACTGACAAACAAATCTGATGTGAAAAATCTTACATCAGCAGGGTTGGTTTGCAGATGTTATTTGCACCATTTATTTATCAAAAATAACTAGAAAATGTTTTTAAAACATCATTCCAGACCTTACAAATAGGAATGTGACACGGGCTGTCTGTTTTACTTATACTGTTTTACTGCTTCATATTCTGAGCAAACAGAGAAGCTATTTTCCCCAGGGGTTCAGGAGGGCATACTATTTCATTTCTTCAGAAAATTGTTTCTCTGGATTTCAATCTTTTTAGCTAGATATGACAAAATATAATATCAAGAACACTTATGCTTTTTATCAGCTCTATTTTCAAAGCATAAATAATAGATCAGTATATATTTAAGTCAGGTGACCAAGCCTTATTTCAGAAATCAAATAAGGATCTTGCAATTTTTAAATGATGCTGTACATTTTCACTACAGTATCATTATGCCCTTAAAATGCTTTCAAAAGACCAATTGATAAGCATGGAATGATTCTGAAGATATTTCACTAGTGTTAATAATACCTCACTCAGGTGGCATTCAATTTTCTGAATCCTTGGGTTAATGAGGCAAATAAATCAAAATTAAATTGGCCTTGGGAAAAAAAAAAAAAAAAATCAAACAAAATTGCATCTATCACATTATACATCCTGAGACTCCTTCAGTACTGCTCACAATGGCTAACAATATTCCAGCTCTCAGACTCATTACACTTACTCATAATGCACTCTAAGATTTTAAAATCAAATAGATCAGACTTCATGACTAGATGAAGACAACAACTTATTAGAATATATCAGTATTTACATAAAGTTGCACACAGTCTTAGTCGGGTACTTCCCAGTAAGTATCCCTAAATTTCAGCTACCCATCATTTTTTCAATGATCCAACAAACCCCTTCCAGGAGGATTTCAGCACAGCAAACCAGCAAAGTTTTAAGATAAGCCTTAAGAAGAAAATACATTCTGCAGCCAGGCCATCATTCACCATCTCTTTAAAAAAGCCCCAGCAAGGTAGAGATGCAGCCAAATAGCTGAAACAAACACTTGAAATGAATACTTCTAGTCATACTGCTGCAGTAGTGGGGAAGAAATATTACCTTCACCCCCTTCTTTAAAGTATGAGAGAAAGGAAATGTTCTCCAAATATTATAAAAGGGAGTCTACTGTTGGGGAATACCAGTGTTGTCAGCTCTTTAAAAAATGGTTAATAATGTACAACACAGAGAACACAGATGCTGCATTTGTTACCAGAAGTAATAAATTCAGCACGAACAAATGATCTTCAACACTGACATGCAATGACACAGCGGTGCCATTGTTTCGCTGTTGTTACTTGTAGCACTTCTCTACCCATGGAGTCACCTGCCTTCACAAGGGCATCCTTTCACCGTAAGGAACTTCCTACAGACATGGAGCCCAGTTGAAGAACTCCTACATTGAGCTGTTGTAACCACCTTCATCTGCTAAGTCAGCAGCAGAGACTCAAGATTTCCATATACATGCCATTTATATGTTTTAATGGAAAATACTGCACAAAAGTAGGTTGTGTATTTTTCCCCAAATAAGTTAGTATTGCTAGCGTTTAAAATTTAATGAAAGTATGCAAAAAAGCTTGAGGTGGGTTTTTATTATTTCAAAAGAGTTAAGGGCCCAAGTGCCCTTATGGCACAGGTTAAAAGCAGCAAGAAACATCACAGAAACATGCTCGTGCAATTTCCCTGGCAACACCTTCCTTGTGGCTTTGCAAAATAGTTTTTATAGCCAAGAGCTTGATTAGGAGTAATTTATTGTGATGCTCTATGCTTTTCCTCACAGAAAACAAACTCCACCAGAGATAGTCAAGAATTTTCTGTCCCTAGTAAAAAGAAGTAAGAAAATCTGTTAGGGACCCCTCCATGGAACTTGAACTAGAAAAGGTTTTAGGTTTATTATCAATATATAACTAGTGTGTATGTACAACAAGCATGCAACCTCCATAGCCAGGAGTTCGAAAGTACTTGCCCTTCTGCTCACAGCAGATTTGGAAGAGATGGGCTCCGCTCAGTCTCTATCCCCCGCCAGCCACTTGGATCAGCTGCATCCTGTGCTTGGGTCCCAGTACAGCCAAACAGTACTGGGGACTAGGGGTTCAGATTTTTGACAGCTTAAAGAAAACCGTTCCAAAAGGTGTTGATTTCACCTCAATATAGAACAAAATAAGCATTTTCCCAGCTCCTGAATTGAAGTTCAGTGCCTAACTCCAGCACACCAACACTGTTCAGTGCTCGGCTGCTGAGGAAGCAGATGTTTCAGAGGAACAAGAAGTTCTACTTCACATTATTCCTTTGAGTTTTGGTCATGACAGACAGCATTGACAGAAAGTCACCATTCAATGGTTATTCAATTGCTTGCTCAGAATGACACAGTAATTTTATTCTGATTTTTTAGTCCACAGAACAGAAGCTGCAACTGCTATCAGTCCCCTCAAGGCTTTATGCTCTTTGGCAAGGAGTATTGATTTGTACTTTTATAGTGCCTCCCAGGCAGTGGTTGTGCACTATCATTATCCAAATAATTTATAAAAACAGGTGAGAAAGAGGACTTGGAAACTCAATCAAAGTATCTTGATCTGCTACGGAAAAGATGAAACATTACTGGAGCAGCTAAAACAATCTTTTAAATCAATGTGTGGTGCAGGTCCGAGATGTTCTCATGTGTTCTGAAAGGCATTTAAAAGCATGTAAACTCGCATTATCATCACACACGTAAACAACTCTTACAAGTATTATCACAGGAGCAACATGAACACAGAGACGTGTCCACTGCCTGCAGGATCAGGTTTCAGCCATAAATCAGATTATGAAACTTAGATTACATTAGAACACAACAAAAAGGGTTAAAGAAACTCTCCCAGAAAAAAGTATTGCGAAATAAGCCACTGGCACAGGACTCCTTTCTACCACTGAACCAACGTTAATTTAAAAGCCAAGATTCATTTGAAAACATTTACCTGTAAATCAAAAGGTCCCCAAAGATTAATTTCTGCATTTACACTATTTGCAAATTATATTTAACTTAGAGGCATCCTTTTTTTTCCCTGAAATAATTGCTTACAAGATGAGAGCTAAAACACAATCTCAAGTGTAGTCGAGGTAATTGCTGCACTTACTGCTCGTGTCATGTTGATGTATTACTATGTATCAAAGGTCACAGTTCTGTACTCATACATTATCAAATTTGAAAGAGCAATATTCGATTCTGACCAACCTTTAAACTGCCCAGAATGTGTGTGAAAATGGATGTGGGACTAACCTGGGTTTTAAAAAAAATGAACCCGTGTTTCGGAAGCTGAGGGGTCAATCAAGCCAGACTGACGGGGTTAGGTGTCACTTCTGTGCGTCTAATACCCTCTTAGATTATCAATGAGGTGCAGTACACCGATCACAAGCTAAAGCAGCTGTACTAATGAAAATGAAACAGTCTGAAAAAATTAGGTGATACAGGCCTGTGACACAGGGCAGTACCTTGTGGACAATAATGCAGGAATAAGGACATAAATCACCATTTAGATACAATAAAACCTGTAATACCCACCCTGAAGTGTCTACGGAATTGCAGGCCAAAGTCAGCATCTCCACAACTCCACGGTCCCCTCTGAAGCTGCCACACTATTTTTTTTTTTCTACTGAGTCAATGCAGGTTTTCCATGCCTTTACTTCACTGCACACACACAATTTTGCAGTCATATGCCAGCCTGACCTTTGAGGGTGGGTAGCTGGCTGCTCATGCCAGGAGTTCTCACAATTGGTTGTAGCACAGATAAATGAGTCTTATCAGAACCTACTCAACCTTGAGCAATTTTATTCTCCTACATATGCTAGTCCAGCTGGGGAGGGCAGAGGCTGCACTGAAGAAGCTGGGACACCCTTATCCTTGCTTTGGTAACATGAGGTCCTTTACAAAAAAAGGATATATCAAGTCCAAGTTGACTGAGTACAGCCAGCACCTAATGAACTACTAAACAGAATTACTGCCTTAAAACCATAAATCATTACCACGTGAAGAGCAACATGACTTTTACCCCGGCCATCATCATAATCCAGATCACACAAATATTCAATAGCTTTTTCAGGATCAGGTTTTTCCTCAAGAAGTTACATACACAGCAAAGGAACCATATATTCAAACAGCAAACTACATGCTTTAATTTCACACTCTTAAATTAGGTTCATCTGGTTAAAATACTAGATTTCAAAAGGGGAGCACGACTTTAAATATTTTCTCAATTACAAGCAGGAAAGCTAAGACAGACATTTAATAAAGTCTATTAGACCCTGAGAATTCACACTAACGTCTTTGCCATTGATATTAGAGTTCCAGCTGCAGGTGATGCAACTACTGGTCAAGGCCACAGCTAGGATGAAAACGATACTTCTGATTGGAGATACTATTTATAGTACATAAACACACATACCCTTTACTAATGCAACAAAACAAGGCTATTACAATAAGAACTTAAACAATAAATATACAGGATCTGCTGTTTAAATAAAAGCTCATCATGCAAAAAAAAAATACAAATTCAAACATTCCTTAATAAATACTAACTTTCACACTTATTCTAAAGCATCATAGTTCTCTTAAAATGAATTTTCTTGCTGGTTTTACAAAACGTTTTTCAAATTAAGTTTCATCAACTGAATAGAACTCCTTGAAGCGATGCAAGGAATTAGAAGACAGATCATTTCAGGAGAGCTAGAAGGTCTTTGTTGCTTGAGTTTTCTACAAATCCAGCATCTCTATTTTCATTGAGGCAGCAAAACAGAGAGAAAGATAGAATTATTTCAATATAAGTTACAAATTTAGAGATTATTTCTAATTTACAAATCAAACACCCGAAATTGCCAAATCTCCAGTATCTGCACCCCTTGTTTTCTCCTGTATCTGATTACTTCAGGGTTTTGCTGCATGTATTTCTCTCTAGCACTTGCAATTTCTCTTTTACAAATTATTTTTGTCACACAATAAAGGAAAATACATGATTTCACAGTGGCAAAGGCTTATGAAGCCCTCCTGAAAAACATTACTGAGAATCCTAGCAGTACAATGCTAGGATTTGCATAGAGGCAGTTCTGAAGTAGGTTTATTCCCAGTGACTGCAGTGAAAAATAACTAATATTACGAGAATCAGTCAGGACCCTCCCTTCCATGCAAAAATTAAGCCATGATCAAACTGATTTTGTGCAGCCTTGAAAGGATTAGGATTCAGTGCTTTAGATTTTGCACTGTGGCCAAGTTAGATCATCTATCAAGAATCTTAGAAGTTTCCTTTAATCTCAAAACCCCATGGTTTGGAAGCAAATTATTGTGTAATCAATACATTTCATTTTAAAACCCTTCTCTCTATCCTGCCTATCATACACCGCTCTAGGTCTTATTCTTGCAGCAAAAAGATTGAATGTGACCTGACAAGACTCCAGAGAGGTTCACAAATCAAAGGCAATGGTGAAAAGAAGTCAAATTCCTCAAGACTCACAATGTTAAGGGACAACTCAATTTTTAATATTTTTTTTTTTAGTGCCGGAAGGTAGCAGTTCCTATTGTTAGATGCTATTATAACTTATTATATTTGTTGCATAAAAGCCAATTGCTAAAAAATTCCCACCTACTCAGGATGCCATTCTTTTCCTCCAAACAGCCAGAATCCAGAGCATGAAGTATGATTAATTTCAGACTCCAACATAAAACCTCAAGTGTAACACACTTCAGATGGAAGTTACAGTTTGTCCTCTGACAGAAGCTTTGGTGCATTACTACACACCAAGACCTGGAAGCCAACAGCCGTATGCCGATCAGCCCCAGGAACAGTAGCATTAGAAGCATGAATTGTAATTCCTCACCTTCATCTCCCTTCACAAACTTGAGACCTGTGAACTCTGCCTAAAGCCCACACGCTGGAAGAGAGGAGCACTGCCACAGATCAGTAATTAACAGGTTCAAAAACACTTCCCTTTCAGTGCATCAAATCTTTGATAATCACCAAAAATCTCTTATGAACTATCACACAGATCCAGTCATTTAATGCATTCTTAAGCAAAAACAGGAAAGGCACACACTACTGGAAAGAATCCACTCTTCAGAGCTATCATCTATTGTCCCCTCATTCTCAAACTCCTCTTTAAAACTAATCATACCTACAAGGCTGTTGGTTCAACTTACTAGGACCTCTCAAGCTGCCAAACAGTTTATTTATGGAAAACTTACTTTCCTCCTACTGTTTATGCACTTGCTGTATTTGTAGCCTTTTGTAAAATTAATTTGTATCACGGATGCATTTTCTATGGTCTCCTATACACTACAAATATATATGTGAAACTTCAGAGGCTCACTACATCAGAAATCTGTACAGGTTTGCATTCATTAATTCATTAAAGTAATTGAAACATGCAATGCTGAGATCTGAGGCACAAACTTTTAACCATGTGACTGTACAGGAAAAAAAAACTTAGAGATATTAAGCAAAAAAAAACAATCCACAAGACACGGAAGGAAATGAGGAACTAAAGATTCTGCTTGAGAACACTCAGCGAACTGCTCAAATGATTATTTGCCAAAGATGCAAACTGAATCTTCAACATTGCTGTTCTAGTGAAACATCCACAGAAAGGCAACTCCTTGCCCCACAGGCAGTCTTCCTCATTGTAGAGGACCTAACAAAACCTCACTCCAGAAGCATCTTATTTAGAACTTTCATTACATCCATCCTCTTCTACTGAACATATTCAGACTTCATGCAAATTAAGACTTGTGAAGTTTCTGATAGCAGAGTTGACTACTGAATAAGTTTCCTGTTGCCTACTTGTCCATTACCACAGATCCACTAGTATACAAATATTGCTAAGTTCAGAACCATACGCCAGATGAGTATTTCTCCTAGCCTTTGCAGGTTAATAAGGTTATAAAAATAAATTACTGCTACAGTTTCACTAATTCTAAAAGTAGAAAAGAATTTCTAAGTTTTTATGTTTAAATAAAAAGGATAAAGACAACTTTGGCACCATCACCTCTACTAATAGCTAGACAATCTTAATCTACCAAGTTACTGTCTTCTGCTTATTCTGGAATTAATTCTAAAAAGCAAAGTTTCTCCAAGATGATTCATTTTCAACTGCATCCTTACTTTTGACATAAGAACAGGATATTAACCTGGGATATGTACTGCCACGTTCAGCTACACTTCTTGAAAAATCTTTCCAAGCTCTTCTCCTCTTTACCTCTTGAGACCTTATTCTGGCAGACAAAACCACTCTTCCTCCCCTACCCATTTCACTCTGCCATCCTTTCCATCTTTCCATTGGCTTCTACTCAGATACCACATGGGATTCAACCTTGTTCTTTCAAGGCAACCATACACACCCTCAGTTATATGATTCTGATAACCTCTAGACCAGTCCATTAATTGTCAGCTTCCACAACAGTTTGCCCTTCCCTGGATGTAGGCTGATCAGCTTGGCAACAAACCATCTTCATACCAAGATTCAACCAAATGACCTATTTCTGTCAAAATGTCCAAGGGTAATAAATTATGCTCTCCTTTAAAGTATTAGAATTTGAAGTAACATTCCCTCATTTCCATGTTCTGTAGGCTTCTTAGTAAAACTTAAAGTTTGACCATCTGACTCATTTCCATGTATTTTGAACTGGAACGCTATTGTGGCTTAATCCAGCTGGTAATTAAGTACCACACAGCCACCCACTCCCCTGCAGTAGGACGGAGGACATTCGAAGAAGATGGAAGCCATAGACTGAGTAACTGAAATAAATCGAAGTAAAATACTAGTAAGAGAGATGAACAAGAAACACCCAAAGTGATGCATAATACAATTGCTCACCACCCACAGACTGATAACCACTCTGTCCCCAAGCAGTGATCAGCCCTTTCTGGCCAACTCCCCCCAGTTTATATACTGAGCCTGACGGTTCTGTGGCATGGAATATTCCTTTGGATAGTTTGGGTCAGCTGTCCTGGCTCTGCTCCCTCCCAGCTTCTTATGCACCTCCTCACTGGTAAAGCATTAGAGCCTGAGAAGTCCTTGATCAACCTAAGCCTACTACTTAGCAACATTATGCAACATGTTATCAGCATTGTTCTCCCACTAAACACAAAACACAGCACTGTACCAGCTACTAGGAAGAAAATTAACTCTACCAAACCAGAACACTCGTTTGTCTTTTTGGCAGATTTTACATAGCCCAGGTAATACCTCCCTAATATATAAACTACTTTTGAATAAAATCTCCACAACTACTCATGAATTTCAGAAGCAATAAAAACATCGCCAACAAGCTTGCCAAGTTATTACTTTACTACCCCAATTTTGCTTTTCATTCAAACCACAAGAAGAAATGGGGCTTGTGTAACATCACTCAGAAGTGAGATTTTCACAAGAACAGGCTTTTAAGTACTCCTGAAAAAAATATGAATCAAGAGCCTACTATGAAGTCAGAAGACAACAAAACATGGAACCATAGCATGTTATATATTTTCCCCCTACTTTCTTCCTTCTCATCTCTTCAGTCTACAATTGGTTTAAATGTAACTTGACAATTGCTGTACATTTTGCTCTACATACTCCTACTTCCAAGTTTTTTGGTATTACAAAGACATGGCCAAGTGTGGCTACTGCTGTTCACTGACAGGTATTTTTAGATTTGAATCCAACTCCTGTGGACAGGCATCTTTTACTATTGCCACACTTGCAGTAGACAGAAGCCAAGAAGCAACTGCTGTAGAAACAGAATACTCTTCTCACCTTCGTATCAGGACTGGAAGACACATACTTGGCAAGAGTAACACACAAATGCTTACTGTACACTGAGGCAAGCCCAGAGTCTATTATTACTCTCCTATCTCCCTGAGCCTGAAAATTCACAGAGATTAATTAACCCTCTACCCTCATTTACTACAACTACTCGAAAACCCTGAAAATTTATACATTTAAAAATAGATATTTCTCTGCCAAAATCCCAGCACATCCTTAACATCTTTTTTCGAGCCTTCTGAAGCAATTAATGGGAACAACTGCTTGGACACTCTTTTTTAGTATGAAAGTCTTTCATGAAAACTCTACCAGATGCTTTAATCTCACTTATTCTTCTCCTCCTCAAAAATTCTAGGTAGTCTTTGGTCTTATAAAGCTAGGGTTTCAGATTTTAGCAAGTATTTGTCTTCACATCAGGTTGACTATCTCTACTTGATCCTTCAGTGACATATTATACAAAGCACCAATCATTCCTATAGCAAGTTGCTAATGCCACATTTAAGAATGTTGGGAGAAATAACATCCCACCCTATACCAGATAATGACTCTCTCCTTTTTCAAAAAGGATTTGGATTCCCCACGACCTAAGAAGCAAACGTTTCCTTGATAAAAGTAGGAGATCTGAAAATAGACATCTTCCAGGGAAATGAAAAAAATTTAACATATAGCTCCAATACCAACAGGTTTTCTCAGTCAATTCAATAAATACGATATGCATTACAGCTCAGAGGTTACTTGCCATGGGAAGAACTAACATTCCTAATTACTCTACAAAAAGCCTCACATTAAGATTTATTTTTTTAAAAGGAAATAATAAATGGGCCTTAAAGTAATCTTAACTTCTGAAGCAACAGTAATACATGCACACGTATGCCTCATAACATCAGATTTTACTTGGGTTTAGTGCTTATAACGTAACTACATCAAAAAATCTACTGTGCTGAATTACCAAAGTATTTTATGATTTTTTTTTCTCAAAAAAATTCAGCCTTTGAACAGGTAAAAAATGCACAGATTAACATCCGAAACTCTTACAAAATAATAAGCAAGCTTTGTCAACTTTCAAGCAAAATTATTTCTATTTTAAAGAAGATCTGGATTATAAAATACATTCTCTTAAAATATTAAACAATGCATTCCCCTATCACCATATGAGAAAAGTATAAGGTACAAAGTAAGACATGTTTGGAAAAGGGACTGTTTTCTTTGTATTCCCAACTAAGTCACACAATGGTTTTACTAACTGTTTATACAAATATAGCCAAACACCTTCAAGTACTCCTTTAATCACATGCCTACATTCTGTCTATTAAGATTACCAATTAATATGAATTGCAATTTAGTTAGTGAACCAGAAAACAAAAGTTCTCATTTATCTAAATACAGACCAAACTTGATTCTGACTGATGTAAGGGTTGAGCTTCAAAACTAACCCCAAAGTATCAGAAAATAAAGCATATATTTGGAAAAGAAAATTAATCACTGCTTTTCACGTAATAATTATGTCTCATATAAAGACGTGGATACTAAGGTCACGTTTACAAACATGTTTTTCTTGTAGAGGGCTTTCCAGCTACTAAGATTCAGCTGTCTCCTGCTTTTATACAGTAAAACACTTCATCTTGGGACCGAGACAATGGATTAAAAGTGTTTTTCAAATCTCCTCCTTCCCTCCATATAGCGAGGTACGCAGAGAACATCACACATAAAACTTGTATCAGAACTACTACTAACTCAACCAAGTTACACATGGTCAGCATTTACTCCTAAAAAACAGAAATTCTGATTCAGGTACTTCACCTCTGAGCACCAGAAAAATTCTCAACCAGGTTCCCAACTGTTATATTTAACAGGAAACGTGTAAGAAGTCTCCTTAGCTTGAAAAGCGATATAATAAAAAAAACAAGTACAGTTTCACTAATCCAGCATCAACTACTCGTCACTATGATAACAATAAATACCATCAACAGGCTTCAGGCACAGTTCAGAAAGTCTTATGTCAAATGCACATGCACTTCCCCTATTGAGCAAGGACCTATTTCTATTTGATCAAAGTCACCTTTAGCTACATATAGACATGTTCCATTTAAGGTGCCATATTCCTTTTGAACTTCCACAAAGTAACTGTAGAATAGCTGCATACAGCAGAACAGAAATTCTCTTCAGTTTTAGGAATCACAAAGCAAGTATTGCTGCTAGATGTCTTTATTTTCTTTAACAAAATACACAAAGGCACAAAATCCACTTATATCTTGTCATTATTGTACAGGTATAAATAGTGCTTTGTATTCAAGTACAATCAAGTGCAGAGACTTTCTATATTTTATGTAAACACAAAACAGTTTTGTATGTATGTGCCTCCGGTTCATTTGCAATGCAAATAAAGGAGATGCCATTTATCCGAGTGCCATTTAACTGAATTCTGTGGAAAAGTTAGACAATGAATAACATTAACAACACTGTAATGACACTTCCATACGCTTAAGTCAAATGTCAGGTGACACTTTAGCTTGTAAACATCTGTGTGTTTAAAATGTACTCAATTCATTTTAAGAGGGAAGCATTAAAAAAAAAAAAAATCTATCTTAATTTCACTAAACTGAACTTACTAGGTCAGCTGCTGCCAGTAATTGCTCTTTACACATGACAGCTGAAGAGATGGCAAATTATAGGTCACCCTTAGCAAAACTTGTATTTTTAAGTTTTTTCATATGCAAACTGAATAATGGCTACTACTGTTAGACTTCAGCCAACTACACATTCTGTGTTAACTTATTTAAAGAGACATGCTTTATTTACAATACCTATTTTTAGAAATAGCTTTGACATACTGTGGCAGTTGAGGCAGTTTAAGCTCAAGCGAGACTTTTAAGTTGTACCATTAAAAAAAAAGCTCACCTGAATAGCAACAACAGGCATGAACAAAGCTAAGAACTAGCTACAGAAGGCACTTGAGTACTTTATTCTGTTTTCATTAAAGATTCTTCATTTTGTTCAGCTGAAATAGACTCTGAAATAGAGTCTTCAGTTGTTGAAATGTTCTCTGTTTCTTCTTTTTCAGCCTCTTCAGCTAACTTGTCATTAAGCTGCTCAGCACTTGGTGCTTTATCATCTGTCTTATTTGTCTCAACAATCTGGGTTGTGTCTCCTTCAGACTCTGTGAAAAGAAAAGTGATGAAATTACCATTTCCAGAAATAAAGAGGTACCTAATATTCTCAAAAAGCAAATGAAAAAAACATTTTGCAATCACACACAGGTCTTGACCAGCCATGCATAAAGTTCTCAACTGCTAAAACCTGTTTCATTTTTCTAACAAGAAGGTCACAGGTAAAACCTCTGAAATTTAAGAAAAAAGAAAATACTACAGAAAAGAGTTCAGATACCGCTATGAAAATATTATCTATTATTTCTACATGTTCCCCTTCAACAGAGTCTTTCTAAGCCTGTCCATTAATGTCAGACAATGACATAAATAAGAGGTGATGGTAAACTCAGCTTCTTTGTGCCTGGTAATGGAAGTTTTACCAACTGTATAGCATTTTCTGCAAGAGTTCAATCTGTACACAGAACCTAAATGTTTTATTTGGTGGAAACTATTTCAAACACAAAGAGACAGATAACCAGGAAAAAAAATTATATAGGTCTCACAATTTCAAAACAGACAAAATTATTGTGTATTCTAAGTCTTCCCACAGCAAGTGTAAGAAGGATACACAGGAGTATCTTTACTCTCAACCTGAGAAGGAAGTTTCTTTGAAAATAGGCGTATTTTGAAGATCAGTCAAAAATATTTATCATAAGTACTACTGCTATTGTAGTAAATTCCAGCTTCCCAACAGCATTTCCGTAATATATGAGAAATAAGTCAGTCACATTTTGAAGTAAGCATAAGCACTGAAAAACTCAACACCAGACATTGCACCAAATGACACATAGGTACTCTAGAATGATACTTTTGATGGTAGTTTATTTACTGATTAGTATTAGTCAATACTGTGTACAGCTTTAATGCATACCGTGAAGGCAGACAATTTACAAAATTAACGCAAAGTTAGAGCTCAAAAATTTTAACCTTATCAAATGTTTGTAATTTCATAGAACAGTTAGGGTTGAAAAGAACCTTAAGATCATCTAGTTCCAAACCCCCTGCCATGGGCAGTGATGCCTTTCACTAGACCAAGTGAGGTTGATCAAAGCCCTGTCCAACCTGGCCTTGAACACTTCCAGGGACAGGGCATCTACAGCTTCTCTGGGCAACCCGTTCCAGTGTCTCACAATGAAGAGTTTCTTCCTCG